GTGCTTGGACTAAATAGCACTAAGAACTAATGTGTGCATAGTGCCTAATGGCTTCAAAGAGGTATCATGCATATTATCTCAAGTTGGTATCACAAATAACACTTATAGATAAGGAAGCTGTCCCTGGCGGCTTAGGTAAGTTGGCAAATTTATAAAGCTGATAGGGATCTAAATACCTTCAAGCCCAAGATTCTCTCTCTACATTTTATCTATTTTTTTTTATTTTAGCATCCTGCATCAATAATGGCTGTGCATGCGTGCATATATAATAATTTAAATGGAAAATATTAATAAAAGGAAGTTATAATAATTAAGTAAAATGAATACCCAACAGAGACATATGGAAGGATTAGGAACATATATTTTGAACTTAAAGTGACTTGTGTCTAAATTTAACTAGCCATGTTATCTTGAGAAAGATACTAATCCTTTTATGTCTCAATTTCTTCCTTTGGAAATTGGAGCTAATATTTACTCAGGAATTTTGTGTGTGTATTACACAAACTTGTATATAAAATGTTTGGCATAATAGTTTATTAAAAGCCAATAAACATTGATATATGATATAAAAAGAGTAATTATAATTATGACAATGATTAATAATAAAAATTATATACCATTTTATTGGATAATTCAACCATGATCAAGTTTTTGTGTAGCCTTATGAATCTGAAACTCAATCCTAACAAAAATATAGCTAATGATTGCTTATCAGAAAACTTTCTTTAAAGGGTCAAAAAGGAAATATTACGGAGTTTGTAGACTATGTGGTCTGTTCTGCTACAATTTAATTCTGCTGTTTGAGTATGAAAGCATCCACAGACAATACACAAATGAATGCATGTGGTTGTGGTCCAATAAAAATTTAATTACAAAAACAGCCTGAGGGCCAGACTTGCTCTGCAGGATTTAGTTAGTTAAGAGGGTCAGGGTAAAAGAGTTTGAAATCATGGAGTCATAAGTGTCCATGACCACTTTCCTTAAAATCAGAGGGTGAAAACATTTAGCTCTTACTTTTTGTAGTAAACAGAATAATGTTCCTCATCTCCTCAAAGGAGGAGATGATCCCCAGAACCTAAGCACATGTTACCTTATGTGGCAGAAGGAACTGTGGTTAACGTAAGGATCTTGAAATGGAGAGATTATCCTGGATTTTCTGGATGGGTTTGATGTGGTCACAGGGGTGCTTACAAGAAGGAAGCAGAGGTCAGAGAGGAGAGAAGATGCTAGACTGTTGGTTATGAAGTTGGAACAAAGGGACATGAGCCAAGGAATGAGGGCAGCCTCGAGAAGATGGGGAAAATGCAAGGAAACAGATCCTCACTTTCCCTCTGGAAGGTCGGCGCTCCTTGCCCATTTTAGATTTGTAACCACCATAGCTCCACCATACATTAGAGCTCTAGCTCTAAGTGTATGCCATTTAAGCCACTGAATTTGTGGTAATTTGCTACAGCAGCAATAGGAAACTAATATGTTTGCTTTGTTTCTCTGTGTTTGTGTGTGTGCGTGTGTGTGTGTGTGTTATGAGGTTCTGACTCTGTATTAATAGTTTTAAAGTAGAAAGAAACCCTGGTTGAAAGATATTTGGGGGGAGAAAGTCTTCTTACTGGAAAAGAGAGAAAGTTCTGAATGAATAAGGATAAGGATCTGTTTTACTTCTGACTTCATCCTGTCTTGGTTCTGAGAGACACAACTGATTATTAAATTTGGGGTACTCTTAAAATATTTTTAAATATTAAAACATTAAAACCAAAACACAACAAAGACAAACCAACAAAACAGGAACAAAGTTCCAGGCATAGGGGCATCCAGCAATAGGCCAATATGCTTATGTCATGTTTATTTGATTTATCATATCCTCGAGTTTTGCTAAGTTATGTAGTTGCAATTTATAGCTTCATATATGGGCTATTTAGAAAATAAAAACACCTACATAATTCTCCACCATAAATCTACCAAAAGTGTATTTGGTGGCAGCTTTTGAGGACTCATGGAACAGAAAAGGTCTTTTGAATTGGAAGGCTGAGGTTTATATTCCACTCTGCCATGTTTCCCAGTGGCCTCTAATCCTTTCAATATCTTGTGGGAAACCAAATGATAGTTCTCACTGAAGACCGGAAAAGGCGAAGGATGGCTGGGACCAGGGAGCTCTAAATCTTATATCACAGCTGCTCAAATTGCATCAGTCTCTTTCAATTTCTTACTTTTAATGGTCACCCTGGCTAAATTTTATTTCTGCATTAAATGCTACCATTTTATTTTCTTGTCCTTTGTGAATATATGTGGTGACTCTGAATGGCTTTATCTTTTAGCCAGCGCCTGTATTTTCAATAAAAGCCCCTCTACAGATGTTCATGTGAGGCTGCATATGGCAGCCTGGCTGGTGGCCAGCTAGGTAGATTAGGCTTGCTTGGGTGTTCCAGAAACACATAGTTATTCTTTCCATAGCCTAAAACGAGAATTCAGTTTTATTTCTTTTGAATGGGACTCCTTAATCTCTTAGTTTGCCTTGTGGGAAATGCATTAGTATTTCTGACTAGAGCTCACGGTTATTTGCCCTCTTTTGTTTTTTTTAAAGCCTAGATTAGTAACCTTAAAATCATAGAAATATAATCATGGAATGAGTAGGGTTTAAGTGTTTGAATACTAAAATGTCTATAAAGTTTTAGTGTAAACACTTAAGAAAAATATTTTAAAGTCCCCAAAAAGAGGGCAGTGTTTCAGCAGAAATCAGACTTTCATATAGCTCCATACTGTCCTGTTACCTTTGTGACGTTGAAGGATGTTCTGGGAAGCTAAGTGTCTTTATGGCGTGCAGTTCTGTAGCATTGGTTCCTGGTGGCTAGAAATCTCCATGTTCTGCATTATTTAGATACAGACACTCATGGCTCAGCATGTGTCATAAAATAAAGTAATAAACTGTATATCTCACTGTATCTTTGGGAATTCTACAAAAATAGTTTTTTAAGATTTTCCCAATTTCCCATGGCCCCCTATAATACCTTCCTGTGACCTAGAAATATATTTTATTGAGGCAACATTGCTATATATGGAGGTCTTTAGATGTGGATACCTCTATGATATTAAGGGCCATATTTATGAGATGTCAGCATGTGAGTTAGTGACGCTTTTGCTTGTGTGTGGCAGAGCATTTGGGTTAGACTGACTTCTGGAAAAGGACCACCCAATCTTTGCAGATGACCTAACAAGCTACTACCAATTCCAAGAGGAAAATTCACTAATACCTTAATGAATGAGAATTGTTTGCATCACTTGAGAATATGTCAGCTGCAGAACCTTTGCCTAATTTGACTCTTACAGAGTCAGTCTGATTCCATTAGTAATTTGATAAAAAGCGGGAGCCAGCTGGCTCCAGACCAGGTGTCAGTATGCCCCCAGCCTGCAAGCGCACTGCCACTTTGTGTGGTGTTGCTCTGTTCTGTAAAACAGATGTTGTGATTCACTCCAGACATCCTGCATTTCATTAGGGAGTGAAGTAGTCACTTAGTTATCTCATTCACTTGGTTTTCAATGGACTGAACATGTGTGGTCTGTAAATTCTGATCCCATTTTAACTGTTACTTAAAGGATGTGCTTTAGAATGCCATCACCCCCATCATTCTTACAGTTTTCTCTCCTACACAGTAGGTTTCTCTGCTCTTTTTATTGATAGATGAATGACTCTAAATCACAGTCAGAAGAGACAATTGTTCAACATGCAGTGGTTTTCAGATGTTGTTATTCTCCTGAAACAATGCTTTTATTTTTTTCTTGAGATAACATTGACCTTATAATTCAGAAGCTTGGTTTCATAGTTAATAAAGAATTCTAAGTGCGGTTAAGCCAATTGTCTCCTATTGGTTTCTTAACAGTTACAAACTGATACTGAGACAGTGTCTATGTGCGTAATGGTAATAGAAGCCGACTGAGTACCAGCTCAGGAGAGGCAGAAAACCTGAAGTGTTGGCCTGTCACGTTCACAGCGTTTCCATCCGTGGTGTTGGCCGTAAACATGGAATAGGTAGATAGGTAAATGAATGGATCTCCAGCCAACCATCCATTCAGGGTCTTCTATATCCATGTACTGCATCTCCTCTACTCCGTTCTCTGCCACTGGATTGCAGAGGTAAATAGCAGCAAACTTCAGCGATCGCCTGCTTTGAATGTTGTACTTCATGGTAATACACTCTGCTAAATTCTCCTTGTTCACCATATTTTGCGTGCACTGTTTCTTGTTTGTTTGTTTCCTATAAGATGCTTTGTGCAGTATTTATCTCTTTTGCACTATCCAGTGTCTTCGGTAGAATGAAGTGAACATTCTTTTTTACTCATAATGGTTACAACAAATAATGACTCTAATGCTTATTGGTCATTATCATTTTAATTTATACTTTTTAAAGTAGGGTGCGGTGGAATATGGCAGTAGAGATCAGCCCTCTTTCTTTTGTTTCTTCTTTTAAGTACCTTTCATTCCTTTCTCCTACTCCCTAATTAATATAAATTGCTTCTTTCATTTCTTCCCTTACTCCTCCAAAGCCAGTGATAATAGACGACCGTGTGTTAAGGAATAGATAACTGGCCAGCACTGAAGGAGAACCATTCTTAGTCAATTTTTTTCTTTTCATAATTACAAAGACGTATGTCTTAATTAAATTTAGAATTGTGATAACTTCACAAAATTAAAAAAAACATGTATGCAAAAATTTTATGTGCAAATATTTTATGCTGCAGAGACTGCAGGAAAATGAACGAATTTTCAAGTATACATTCTATTTCTCCAGCTTTATTCCCCTCTACTGGGAATGATAGTTTATTTTTTGAAGGTATGGTGGCTTTTCTAGGGAAGGGAAAAAGCCTTGATCGGCAATGGCAAATAACCTAGAATTCCTGGAATTATTAATAATTAGGCCATTACTATTTTCAGTCTGCCTCAATTAAACTTTCCTTTGTGTTATTTAATGTGTTATACATTTAATGAATTTTTATTTTAAGAATTTGCTTCTGCACATCATTAAAGTTTGGAGTTGAGGCCGCTGGCTGGCCAGTGAGCTTCACAAACATAGATAATGAGCTACATGAGGGGCAAATCTTCCACCAACACCACAAGGGTCTCTGGTCCAATGAGTGAAGTTTGACAGCAATTCTTGCTACAAGTATTAAAAAATATAAGAATTTGCTAAGACCTATGTATAAAAATTACTACACGGGAAAATTAGAATAACTTTTAAAGGCATACTAAACTTTGCAAGCTCTAAAATAAGTGTACCATCTATCTTAAAAGTAACTTAAAAATAATCTAGCCTTGAGGCAGGCAGAGGGAAAGGGAGAAGTAGGTTCTCAAAAAAAAAAAAAAAAACTAGCCTAAAACCATTGTAGTATTTTCTAATAATATGGGTTGTAAGATCTAAATAAAGAGGTATAGGGGCGCCTGGGTGGCTCAGTCGTTAAGCATCTGCCTTCGGCTGATCGAGTCCCGCATCAGGCTCCCTGCTCCGCGGGAAGCCTGCTTCTCCCTCTCCCACTCCCCCTGCTTGTGTTTCCTCTCTCGCTGTGTCTCTGTCAAATAAATCAAATCTTTAAAAAAATAAAAAGTATACAGTGTAAATTCCCATTATTTTATTCTATTAAGATTTACTGTGCTTAATTAATTTCTGTGAAAATATAAGTTATTTTTTTAGGTTTTCTTCTTAGTTTAAATGCCCCAAGGTAGGATGATATTCAATAGTTTATGATCATCAAAACCAGAAGGAATCAATTTTTAAAATGCAAGTGTTTAAAGTTTTCTGATGCATTCAGTATAAACTTAGAATTATATTCAGAGTAAAATATCACTTATTATAACTTGTCTAAATCCTGGAGATGATTGTGATAGTTTTGTGATAGTTTTGATTGTGATTTAGTTGCAATAGTTTAATAATAGAATTTCACATGGAGTTATTGTGCTGTTTTCCTCATTATGTTTTTTCAGAGACTTTACATTCTACTGATTTTACACTTCTTTCAATAATGTTCTATACGGGTTAATTTATTTGTATGTCCTGAGCATGTTTTATTGATGTGAATTTCTGCTCCAAAGGAAAGAACCCATTTTGAGTGATATGCGTTCTTGTTTTTGTTTTTCTTTCCCTTTCTTTCTTTTTTTAATAGGCCTTTGGTGAGTTTGAGATCGAGCAGCATCAAGAATGTGCTTATGATCACTTGGAAGTATTCGATGGAGAAACAGAAAAATCACCAATTCTTGGAAGACTATGTGGGAACAAGATACCAGAGCCCCTTGTGGCTACTGGAAATAAAATGTTTGTTCGGTTTGTTTCTGATGCATCTGTTCAAAGGAAAGGCTTTCAAGCCACACATTCTACAGGTCAGCAAATTAGAGTCATGTTTCTCTTTCCTGATCTAGGTTTCTCTTCCAGTGAATGCAGTGGATCCTACAACAGGAACATTAATGAATCTCTGAGCACAGCAGAAGAAATCTCACTGAAGCACTGTGTGAAATATTTGAGAGCTATGTAGCATCCTACTCAAATATCTTTGTAGTTGCTGAACGTTTAGAAAGCAATGCAATAGTTTGATCTGATTCATGTCCAATGCAAGTATGATCAAGTAGAACTATCTCTAAATATTTGTATAATGGATTCCATATTAACTTGAGCCGTTTGATTTATATGCTCTATTTAACAGTTAGAAATCTATGTCTTAGTATTCAAGAATCGTGTTTTCTCTAACATCCTACCTGGTTGGCTAGCTTTTGCATTAATGTATTTTTGTAAGTCTGATTTGGAATTTATCTCTCCGTTGTACAGAGTCTCATTTGTTTTTCCTTTTATTTAGTGTGCAATACAATCTTTCTAATCCTAATCCCTAATTTGACTTTGTAATGGAAGTTTTCAAGAAATAAAATATAATTTAGGAAATATATGGAAGATTTTAGGAAAAAATATAGAATAACATTTTTTAATAATTTGGGGCCAGCTTAATACTGTATTTCATAAATGTCTAGGAAATGTCCTTTTTTTACATTCAGTTAAAAAACAAGTCAGTTGGACGCCTGGGTGGCTCAGATGGTTAAGCGTCTACCTTCGGCTCAGGTCATGATCCCAGGGTCCTGGGATGGAGTCCCGCATCGGGCTCCCTACTCGGCAGGGAGCCTGCTTCTCCCTCTGCTTCTCTCTCTCTCTGTCTCTCATGAATAAATAAATAAAATCTTAAAAAAAAAAAAAAGTCAGTTGTTTGTAGTTTCCTAAAGTCATTTATCTTATAGTGCCACCTAGTGGTACTATTGATGAATAAACTATTGAGACTGCCCTGTAGAACTGTCTTGATGTAATAATATAATACACAGTGTAATAGTATACAAATTTGTCCATAAAACAATGTAAGTGCAGCAATTTTTTGTCATGGGTTCTGGTTATTGTTTTTATTTTCTTTTTGTTTAATTTTGTTTGAGAAATCAGAATTTTAATTATTCCATTGTCCAATATTATTTTCCACTTTAGTGTATTTTATTATAAGTATTAGATTTATATTGGAGTCTATGAGAAAGTGAATATTGTCAGAATTTTTATCTGATTTGTACTAGTAATGGTTGAACTCATTAATAGTGCAAATTAATTATTTCTCATGAGTGATATAAATATTTTGGTTTAAGAAGAATCTTTCAGGGACTACAGAAATTTCATACTAATGAAAGGTTTTTCCATACGCTTGACGTTTACTCTTTAAATATTTTCCTGATAATTTGTTATGCATTAAAGGGGTGGAGTGATTGCAATCCCATTACTTCATCAGTACTTTCCTGATAGCATAGGGTTTATGGCATATATATCTGGCTATCACAAGTTCCAGGAATGCAGTATGAAAATATGCTGTCAAAATTCTTGAAATAGCTGACCAAATATTTTTAAAATACTTACCTATGAATTTCCCTTTCTTTTTTTTTCTTTTTTTATACTTATGTTAATCACCATACATTACATCATTAGTTTTTGATGTAGTGTTCCATGATTCATTGTTTGTGCATAACACCCAGTGCTCCACGCACAACGTGCCCTCTTTAATACCCATCACCAGGCTAACCCATCCCCCCACCCCCCTCCCCTCTAGAACCCTCAGTTTGTTTTTCAGAGTCCATCGTCTCTCATGGTGAATTTCCCTTTCTTAGTTTAATAAAAACTTACTTTTATAGAATCTCTTTTTACCCTTTGTGAGTAGAATGATTAAGATTTATATTATGTTCCAGTACGTAGGTACATTTGGGTTTTTAGTCCAGTTGTGCCATTACCTAGCTGGGAACTTTGGAAAAGAAATTTCTTTGGATATCAGTTTCCTCATCTGTAAAATACTCTTTAAGTTTCATTATAGCTATTAACCTCCATGATTCCTTAATTTGTATGGCCTTTGCTCATGGATCCTATTTGCATTGTTTATATTACCATTAAGAATCCATTGGTAGGATCCAATTAAGTTCTCAGGAGATCTTATATTGAGATCTGATGGTATATATAGCAAGCACTTGGCATTTTAGGCACACACATGTACTTAACATACACTTTACATATATTGAGTCCTTAAAAGACTATATGATGTATTATTATCCTCATTTTTCAGAAAAAGAAATTGAAAATCTAGAGGATTAAATAATTTGCAGAGATTTCTAAAATTATGTCAAAGCCTGGAGTTTAACCTTACTCTGTCTCCAGAATGCCTCGCATACATTCCACCATAGTATATTTTCTCTTCATGTAAAAGTTTTAGATTAGGAAGCAAATCGATTTAAAACCAGTCACTGTTGCTGAAGCGATACGTAGAGACTGAATGCTTCCTTATGTAAGTTTTAAAAAACCCTTTGTTTGAAGTATGTAACTGACTAGGCTCATTTTATTTCCCCGTTCAGTTCACACCCATTCAAATATCCACGTGAGCCACCTGTCACATTTTTGTTAGGCAAGACATGCCTTGGATTTTGTTTAATCCAGGCCTGTCATCCTACATATGAGGATTCTGAACTAAAAACTAAATGACAACCAAAGTAGAACAAAAAAAATAACAGTTGGTATTAGAATCCTGGCTTCTTAACTGCTACTCATTTGCTGTTGTCAACATTTTTGGTATTATCTGTTTGTGTTTTTTTTCTCTTCACCCGTAAATTTTTGCTCCTACTTAACTCAGCTATCTTTTCTGGGTCTATTTGTTTCATACTGTTAATTTCTAATAGCCAAACATGCTGAAACCCTCTTATGTACTGACTACTATTTATCTCTTCTCCAAGCTTGCTCTTTAACAAGTTCATTTATTCCATAGTCTTTCATCAAATATTTATTTGGTACCTGTTTTGGATAGACACTGTAAGGTATTCCTAATTTATGGCCAAAAGCTGGGAATTTGTGGGAATTTACAGGAAAATAGAAGGAATTCCCTCCTGTTGAAGCATACAGTCTAAGTGTAGCCTCTGATTTTCAGAAGTTTCTGTACTTTTGGTTTTTCAGTCAGTTTCTACTGACAAGACAGTCAAGTCCAGTACCACATCAGTCCATTTTTGCTACATGTATAGAACACTTATTCATTATTTACTGCCTTCTAGAATACGTGTAACTATTATCAATGGACCCTGACATACACATTTTAATCTGCTTGAGTAAATTTATATTTTTTATATACAATTTGAATTTTATCCATGAGAAAAACTTCTAATACCATGAATTTTGAAACCAGGTGATTAGAAATACTGCTCTAATATGGTTTTATGGCTATTTTTTTTCACAAGTAATACTGTGAAAAAAATCCATGAGAAAAGGACTTTATTGGAAAGAGTCCTTTTATCCCCCTGATGGTAGGTCTAAATTCTAAGCCCAACTATATTTTAATCAGGTAATGAATGGTATTACACCACCCTTAAATAAACTTATTGAAGAAACAAATCAGTAAAAAAAATATCCTGTGTATTGTCTCAGAGGATATGGCTATAATATAGAAAAAGAGGGAAATGTGGAGAGAAAATAGTCTTTTAAAACATGGCCTGTCCAAAGAAAAAAACAGAGAGGGAGGCAGACCATAACAGAGACTCTTGACTATAGAGAACAAGCTGAGGGTTGCTGGAAGGGAGGTGCGGGGGCATGGGGGTAGCTGGTGGGGTGGAGATGGTTAAATGGGTGATGGTTAAGGAGAGGTCACTTTTTGTAATGAGTGCTGTAAGTGATGAATCACTAAATTCTACTCCTGAAGCTAATATTACACTATATGTAACTAACTAGAATTTAAATAAAAACTTGAAACATTAAAAAAAAAAAATAAGACATGGCCTGTCTGGTAGGACTTCTTTGCTGTAGCATTGTACTATGCATCAATGACATTTAAAAGTCAAATAATGCATGATTAAAGTTCTTAGAAAGGAAGTTATTTTGATCTAACTCAATTAAATTAGAATGCCCACTAAAAGCATGTATAGGCTCAAATTACAGGACCTCTTTGGGAATTTAATACTTTATGGGGAAATAAACAATCATGTCTTTCCAAATTAAAATGAAATCCCCCCCCCACCAGCTGCTCTTCGCTTTTTGTCACCTTTCTTATTCAGCTTCATTTTCATTTTCCAGAATTCTGTAGAAGATGTTCTGGCAGCTTACAAAGTATTTGCAAACAACTGATTTAAAAACAATACTGCGGACATGCTACCTTACTTTTATATTGTTCCAACTTGGTAAATGGATAGGAATATTTGCAGAAAATGTATTTAATTAAATACCTCCTTTAAAGGGACCATAGTAAATGATGTAGTAACCATATTTTGAAGAACTGCCTCAAGGATTCTCAAATTGCCCTCACGCTGCCTGTAATTTTCTGCTTATGGAATTTCTCTCAGGGCATATTAAAATCACACATCTTGTGCATATAATATTTAAATCTTTGTTCTTAAAAATTTTATCCTGTGGACTGAGTTTTCTCTCTCTCTCTCTCTCTCTTTCATGGTTGGATCATTAATTCCAGATTTATTAGTGTGATCAGTGATCCATAGGAAGGCCGTTGTGTACTGAAACAGAGAAATGAAAATAGACAAACATAATGGAACATTTTAAGTCATCCTTAAATGTAATTTATTTATTTTGAATATTGCCATTTTCTAGATGTCTTCAATAAAACCAAATAATAACTCTTCACTGTCAATTTCAGATTCACAAAGGTTTCGTGAAATCTCCTTTTCCATTTTGTTCGACTACTTCATTTCCTCCTTGATTTTTGTTCCAAGTTGGCGCTGGCAGAGAATTGTCTCTTCTGAACCCTGGTCTTTTGTCCTGCTACTTTGCTTCTGCAAAGCAGACACACCGAAACTAGTGCTTTCCTTATATCTCCCAGTGGGCTCCTTCAGCTCTTCCTGGCTGTGGAATAAAAGTAATCCAAGTGCTGGCAGCTTTTTTTTTTTTTTTTAGGTTGAAACCAAAACAAATCAGGGAATTATATATCAAACTTTGAGAATAGGTAGAATTTAAAAAATTCTCTAAGTGAGATTACACTGGTTTGTACATTTATATATTAAATTTGGAAATATTTTTCACAAAATATTTTACTGGCCTTCAAAAACACAAGTCTTCCTTTATGATAGCAGATTAATGTTTTAAATTGGTTTTCATTTTATTCTGGCTTTTCATTTCATACCTGAATGGATCCCTAGCAACAGCACAGATGATGGCATTTAGATGTTCTCACTAGACAGTAATGATTGTAATGGTGATGGCTTACACTAATATGGTCTTTCCTATGTGTCAGGTGTCCTTCAAACATTTGACATATATTAACTCATTCACTCTTCATCTAGACCCCATGATGTGAGTACTATGTATGATCCTTGTCTTAGAAATGGAGTGTGAGACAAAGTCCCTCAGCTGATGAAGGGCAGAGCTCAGATTTGGACCCAGGTCGTTTGGCTGTGGAGATCTGTCACAGAGGAAGGACAATAATTTTTGGAATTAGAGAAGCACCATGGTAGGAAGGGTAGAATGTTTGGCTTCCGGTCTATGGGATTCAAGAGATGAGTTGAGCTTTCAGGGTGATTCTAACTCATTTACATTTGCAATAGTATCAGTATATACTATATGCTATATCGATAGATTGTGCAAGATGCCCCACCTGACACCTGGAACGTGGAGGGACACTTACATTCTTCATGGAACACAGCCCAGTGGGGGAGTCATTCTCATGATTGAAACCCTGGTTTGAAGTTCGTTCATATGTTAGTCACACACAAGAATCTCAATGTCTTTGTCTGTAACAGTGCCGGTAGGTTTGGTTGAGCCTACGCGTATTTAGATACATCTGAATGGGGTTTCATCCTGCGGATTCAGACATATTTTGTTGTTTAAAATCATCAGTTGTGGGTAAGCCATATACAAATTGGAAAAATCCAACTAAGTGTTTTTAGTTGTGTAATCCGTCCTCACAGGGTGCCGCCGGGACTGTTTGGTTGCAGATGACCATGAAAATGTTACAGTGGTGTCTTCGTATCTAGGGTCCTGGCTTGTCCACGTCTTTCCATGTTGGATTTTTGGTTTTGTCCCCTCCCAACTTATCTCAGTTTTCCTGGGACTTTCCTGGTTTTAGCCCTGAAATCACTGCTTCCCAGGAACCTCTCAGGACTTGACAAACAGAAACAGAAAGAAACTCTACTTTCTTCTAACATTTTTGATAGCCCTTTTTTATCTTCTTCTCCCCTGACCCCCTGCCATAAGTTTGCATGGGTACTGGTTGGAGGGGATCTACTATTTAATCTCTGGGTGTTTGGTTTTTTTGTCTGTTTGTTTTGTTTTTTTTAATCTCTAAGTCATTAGGAAGTTTTGGGGCTCAGATTACAAAGTTTCTGAGAAAATTTTTTGAAAACTTTCATTTCTAAATTATACTAGCTGTGCATTTTTGTGCATACTCATCTAGTTATTTGGTATATTTACCTCTTGTGACAAAAGTAATAACTGGTAAACCATGTGTTTATTAATATCTCTCTGAAAAAGAAGCTGTGAAAAGAGAATTTAAATTTTTTTATTTATTACAAACACAAAATACACTTAATAGGTTCTGGAACTGCAAATGTTATTACAGTTAAAGATGCGCGTATGTTTTTCCCAACCAAGTTATATAAATATTTCTACCTAAATAAAATTGTTCTATATAGTCTATGTAGAGTTCTATATCATGCATATACACACATGGGAGTTTTATATATTTTGCCAGTTTTTAAGTTATTTCTTATTCCTTTGGATTCTGGGCTCTTAAATGAGTAAGATTAAACCTGACTTAAGATACTGACTTTTGTTTTTCCCTCTGAAAACTAGTTATTTGAGACTAAAAACAGTATCATGTGTAACAAAATATTTATGAGAGTTACTACAGGTTAGGCACTGTTTTAAGTGATTTTCCATGTATTCATTAAATCCTCAAAATCCACTGAGATTGGTACTATCATTATCATCTGCATTTTGCCCTATGGATCAGAGAAGCGACATCACTCATTTGAAGTAACTGAGCTCGATGGTGTTGGAGGTGATATTCCAACCCAGCAAGCTCTGTGTCCAGGGCCTGTGGTGGGACCTGGTGCACCATCACACTCTACGATTATAGGAAACACATCTGATGATGTAAATGCATTCAGAAGTTAGAGAACGGTTACACTGCATTGAGGTTGAAATTGGACTTGTTAAAACTCACTGAATTTATGTCATTTTTCTTTCCTGAGCAGAGTGTGGAGGCCGACTGAGAGCAGACCCGAAACCCAGAGATCTGTACTCGCATGCGCAGTTTGGTGATAACAACTACCCGGGACAAGTGGACTGTGAATGGCTGTTAGTGTCAGAACGGGGCTTTCGACTGGAGCTATCCTTCCAGATTTTTGAAGTGGAGGAAGAAGCCGACTGTGGCTATGACTATGTTGAGCTCTTTGACGGTCTCGATTCGACAGCGGTGGGGCTTGGTCGATTCTGTGGATCAGGGGTAAATACAGTACCAACAGGATCCCATAGCCATGGTAGAAAATGCCCATTGATTCATGATTGTTATGTGCACCATATGCAAATCGGCAATGTTTTTACGAGAAAAGGTTACACCTTATTATTATTGCCTCTTCTTCCTTACCTCTTCTCCATCTAGTGAATTTCCCCAATAATATCATACAAGAGAGAAGAATTTAGTAGGTATAAGTGCTGGTTCCTGTTCACATTCTAACTTTGTTATTCATGTTCTTACTGTGCAATAAATGTTTAAACATTTAAGAATCTAAAGGCAATAAATTTAAACACCACCTTTGACGATTTGGTAAGCTTCCTAAATTAAAGCATAAAGGAAAAGGAATTATGCACACAATTCAAATTGACATTCCCCTCTCAACGAAGACGCTTGCTGAATGGCAGGCACCACCACCTGGTATGTGGGCTTAGTCAGTGCTGCCATAATGCCGTTCCATTGCAGTGTGTCACTTGTGCATGGGACAGAATGCCCGATACAGGTCAGAGAGTGTCACCAGGAGAAATAAGAAAAAGGAAAGCTTGAGATTTCCTTCATGCTTTCTCCCCCAGGACTCCCTGCATAAATATCAAGCCGTCTTCTGAATACATATTTTGTTCCGAAAACATTAGTCCCATTTTTTTGTCCACCCGTGTCTATTGCTTACATAATACTGAACTTGAATGGTATTGAATTCCTTTCCAAATATCAGCTGAAATGAAACAAAAAACTTCTTGGTGTTTAGATTATTAAAGCAAGAAGGAATGGATGATTGGGATTCTGGAAGTGGCTCTGCCTCAGAGCTCCTTCTGAAACACATTTAATATCTCTTTACCTTCTTTGAACCTTACTTTATTTACTTGTAAATCAAAGGAACTTGGCTTAAAATTTTGGGGAAAAAATCCACCAAGTTCCAGAACTTGGAAAGAGACTTATATTCCAAGCCCAGCCATATCAGTGCCTATGATCTTGAGCATGTCATTTGCTTCTCTGAAACTCAGGTTTGCTCACCTGTAAGATGAAGAAGTCACTCATACCCACTTTTCAAAGTTGTTGGGAGAATTAAATCATAAACCAAAAAAAAAAAAAAACAGACAAACATGAATTACACTGAAGGAAAAAAAGTGACTCATTCTGTTGTTTATTTGCCTGTTTGTTTGTTTTTGTCTTCAGCCACCAGAAGAGATCTATTCAATTGGGGATGCGATTTTAATTCATTTTCACACTGATGACACAATCAACAAGAAAGGATTTCATATAAGATACAAAAGCATTAGATATCCAGATACTATGCATACCAAAAAATAACACCAAAACCTCCATCAAAACATAAAGGAATGTGCATAATGGAGAGAAGACGTATTTTTTTTTAAATGAAGATATTAGCACAAATGTTTTATATAATGAGTTTGACCAGAAGAAGACTTATGAGGACAGGATTCTCTCTGTGCTAAAAGAGAAGTTTTCAAGCCAGCTCTGATCAACGTTGCCAAGATACTGAAACTCCATGCTGGGTGGTATAAATATAAATAAAGCTGGTGAGAAGGCATCATGTAACTTCAAGGAAGACTCCAGAGATTTTGTTCACAGCCTGACATAGATGCCTTGCCATTCAAACAGTTCGATTCAGGGGCTGTGACTTGCAGCGTGTTTCTTTTTGACAATTTTTCGAGATTTGGGAGAAATCAAATGATCTTGCAGGTCATAAACTAAAAAACCCTCTTGTATCTTAGGATAATTGTTTTGGCTTTGTATCTTGCATACGGATCCACATGGGATGTTGCAAAATGGGAGTCTTTGGAGGGCGGTTTGTACTTTAAATGTGGGCGTGTCCGGAATTTTGGAAACTGGAATATTTCAGCTTCATTATTTTCACTTGCAGGCCAGATTCACCTCTTTGAAACACGAATGATCTTGAGACCACTTCATTTTACTGACATTTTGACAAGTTGGAAATGCCAATACTGTCTATTACTGCAGTTAAACTCTAGGCATCATTTATTTAAGTGCTGGAAAATGCCCAGTTGATCGCTAAACTCAAGTTCTTTCAGTGAAAGTGCTGCCTTTTCACACCAAATTTAAGAAGTGTTGTGATGTCTTGGGCACTTCAAGAGAGAACTCCCAACAGGTGTGAACAGAATTCTTCCAAGTGACGGCCTGGATGGCCCGTTCTCAAGTCACCAGTGCTGCTATTGTCTTTTCTGTTGTTGATCTGTTGTAGTTGTAATTGCTGATGTTGTCATGGTTAGTGTTGTATTTAAAAAAAAAAAATGAAATGAAATGGAAGTAGGCTGTGTAGTCATTGAAAGGTCTCTCTTCTTCTTCTTCTTCTTCTTCTTTTTTTCTCTTCTTGGGATTCAGTTAAAAAAATGCAATGTTGGGAAAAAGGATTTGTTTCTGAAAGACTTTCTATGGTGCTATTCCATAAACGTTTTTTTTTAAACAAAATTTTTGACCTTTGAGCCAACCACCTGTAGACTATGAATGTCTCCCTATGTCTGTCTGGTGGCATTTGAAGACTAAAGACTTGCTAAGTGTATCAAGAGTGTATCATTGCAAGGGCACCACTTGTCCTGTGGAACAATTACTTATAATGCCTTAGAATTCTTGCACATGATCAAACAGATCCTCCGAGAGACACACTTTTTGAAAGTTTGAGGAAAACAACGTATGTTAATTAGCAGCTCTGTGAGGAAAATCCATTTCCATGACTGAGAACATTGGGTATAAATATGGTGACCTGCTTTTGTTGTAGAAAACGAATTTTCTGCTTGAAAGCCATGCGTGTTTTTAATATTGTGTATGTATATGTGAGGTTGTCTGAATGAGTGAAGCTACAAGAAGGTGAAAAGCAGTGGGTGGTGGAAAAGTTACAATTTATGTGCCAAGTTCTACTAGAATCCTGTCTGAAGTAGCACCTTTCTTAGGAGGTTTCATGGACAAATAATGGGAACTTCTAATTATTATCCATGCCATTAAAAAAAGGCTTTTTCCTTTATAGAAACTCTATTTTGTTATGTTTTAATGTTGATGTAGATTGCTATATGAAGTAAATTTGTTTCTGTTACCTGTCCATGAACATTTGACATTTAATAAAATTGGGTATTTTTCTTTATTTTTACAAAATTAAACTATACACACAGGTGTAGTTTATTCATTTTTTGTCATTGTTACCCTGAAAAATATTTTCTTGCATATGAATTACAATATGTAAATACATTTTTAAAACCAGTCTTTTGATCTTACTCAATGTTCCTTTGGGAATGTGTAACTATTGCCTGCGATGTAATGAGCTTTTTTAGTGGAGCTGATTTATTCCAGTAACTTCTTCTATATTTTTTCATTAATCTTCAATTAGCCAAATATATCAGCAATGGGAAAGAGGAAAAAATACCATTAACACCTAGTGTATTACACTATGCCTAGCCCAGTACTAGGCACAGGGCACTGGCTTTTTTTTTTTTAAACTTTATGCTACCCTTTGAGAGTTGTGGTGATGTTCTCATTTCGTAGTTCAGGAATGGAGGCTCATAGAAGGTATATAATATTCCCAGGGTCACTGTGTAAAGTTAGATGTTGAAACCCAGCTTGTCTGATACAAAAATCTGTGCTTGTTCTACAAAATGTAGTAGAATCAATCTTGACATATATAAATAGTAGACATGTTTTTATGACGAAACATTTCCACATAAAGTAAATTTTAGGGGTGAATTACAGTAAAACCTTCAGGATAAATATATTGTTCTTTTCAGGAACAGCATGACAATTCGAATATCAATTGTAGATATCTTTAAGAGCCACAGGTAGTGCTAGAAATTAGACAACAACAACGACACCTACTCTGTAGTTCAGAGTTAGTAACCATGGATGGACCTTTTGTTAAAATAAATACATTAAATTATTTTATCTGGTGTAGTAGGGGAAATGTAGTGTTCTACTTTAAGAAATATTCTGGATATTACAATTGACATCTTATTAGGTCACAATGAGCTGCAATCAACACAACCGAGAAATGAAAGTGAAAAGATACTTAGAAGGCATTTATGGAGATGTTGCAACTTCAGGTCTTCAATGTGAACATTAATTTTTATTGTATCTTATGTCAGATACCAATTCGCTGCATATTATTTTTATATTAATTCAATTTTGGCTTTAAATGTGTTGTTAAATGAAAGTACAAACAGCTTTGTTGTTATTTTGTTAATAATTGTTAGTTACTGTTTTAAACATTTTATTAAATTAATTTTGTAAATTATTTTCAACCCCTACAGCAGTATACTGGTTGTGCTCTCTATTTGCCAAAGTTCTAACTCCTATACAATCCTGACTATACACAGAAAAAAACTGCTCCTACTTAATATGATTTTATTAAATTATTTTTCAAGTCAATTTTGAATATTAATCTACTTTATTAATGAGGTCATGACTTAGCATAATTCACAAAACAACATTTAAAAAAATTGTATGAGAAACAGCAATGGTATTTCCAAAGTCTCCAAATGTCCCCTTCCTGTATTGGCTGGATTTTTGCTATGTACAACTAATTTTAATATATCACAGTATCAGATTCAAATTCTGTCCAATTTTGTTTTTAAATTTCTTAGTCTTTTTTATTTGGTTTCTTTTACACCTGTATTTTTGATGGTAAGCCTGAAATATTAAATTTTGCTTTCCCATATAGAAAATCTCTAAAAGCGCACCAAATGACTAATTATTATTCTTCATAAGGCTAAATATTACTTTTTAAAAGTAAACTATAGCTATGTGTGACATTTAAAAATAAAGCAGTTCTCAAAATGTTTGGAAATTGTATTTAGTGACAATGGGAATAAAACTTGCTTTTTGGAAAACCTTTAATACCACTTGTGAAATCTGGCATGGGAGGAAGAAAACAGGAAAAATAATTACCTTCTAAAGTTTATGACTTGAAGTAATGCCTTCCATTTTATAAGAAAAATTATGTAAAATGAGCATATCAAAAAGACAACAAAAAGCTGGTCTGTGAACGAGTTAAAGCTTTTTATGCTTCAATGCATAGTAAGTGGTCGCTAACGAACAGTTAGCTGTTAATCTTTAGTGTTATTGTTATAAAATTAAGACACATTGTCATTAGCTTAAGAAATAATTGATGTAATGGATGGATCTAATATGTTGTGAGATATTATTAGTCTCCAAACTTTCTGTTGACATCACCTTTTTTCATTGTCCAGCCACAACCTCCCCGCCTCTTTCAGCCCCGCACCAGTATATTCAGCCTGTGTCCAGGCTTGCCCTGTGACTCTAGTCAACTCCTGTGCAGAGACTATGCAGAATGATTCCAAAAAGATTATAGGGCCCTGAGTACATCTCACTGTATGCAACTTCCCTCTCATCCAATATTTTAAATAAAAAATTAAAACCATAAAATCAACTTCTAACTTTAGAAAACTTGAAATGGAAACATACCTGGGTTAAAGCAGATGAAGACTGAAGACTTAAGAAGCCAACATGCAGCTTAAGACATGTGGACAAAAGGTCCTGGTACCGGATCTTGCCTTAGCTGCCAGGGTGGAGGTGTTGAGTAAATAATGAAATTACTTGTGTTATTATGTGTTATTTCTATGTGCATACAAGCTACTAGCTTCACCAATCCCTCCACTCTTACTGAGCCCTGTCTACCTATGTTGTTTGTAGCTGAGAAACCAGTTATACATCATTTCATTTTTGCCCAACTATCAAGCTTTTTGGCATATTTGCATCTGAAATAAAAATAGCCACTAAGGCTATTCAAAGCAGCTTATAATACTGTAAACGTGCTTAATGCTTCAGTGTATTTTACAAATTACATTTAAAAAACCAGATCCAGTGGTGCTGCTTCTATTAAATATTATAGGGTGATTATATTAGTCATAATATTTAACTATACAACATATCTAAGAACTAACAAATCTCATATCTGTCAAAAGCTCAATTAGGAATATTTTTAAAAGAGTAACTACTAGAAATTTAGTTAAAAATGATAATTTTCAATCAAAATGTAGAAGTGCATTTATATTCCCTCATGATATTTTTATGTCAGAATCAGTGACTCAGAAATGACAGCTAAATGCTAAAATAATGGTGATAAGGTTGAGGTCAGGGGGAGGGGTTTATTTCAGGGGAATGTCATTAAATTATTTAAACAGGAAGATTGCCAGAAAAGGCAAAGTGAAAGTATTATAGATAATTAAGTTTAGATAAAGCTACCCTAAAAGAATATTTAGTGAACATTCTTTAGGAGGCTATAATTAAAATTCAAAGTAAATTACAAGAAAATTTTCTACAAGGATCTAATAAATTTGTTAAAGTCCTTTCTATACCACTGAATGTCTGTTATTTGTGTTTGAATTCCCTGGGAGTAAAGGGTCCTCATAACAAGTTTTGTCATTTTCAACCCAAAAGACATATTACAACCATGTAGTTTATTCACTCATTTATTTCATCTATTTCTTCATTCCATAAATATTTGCTTAATTCCTTCGAATATGCTCAGCACTGTGCTAAGTACTAAAAATTTAATGAAAGGTTGAAAAAAAAATCACAATTTTTGCTTTTGTGAAGGTTAAATTCTAGTTTAAGAGATAAACATTAATTAAAAGCAATCACAAAGTGTGAAAATTGCAATATAAAACATGCATTTGTATTTTACAGCCATTCTGGGGACATTATTCCAAGTAGCCTGGTTTGCATTTTGAGACAAGCATTAACATCAACCTTTCCTTATCCTTGGTTTTCTACTATCTTACTTGCATTTGTTCTTTTTAAAATTTCAATTGTCCTCTGAAATTAACTCTTTTTTTTT